AATGCCCGGCTATTTTTTGGTTGCAGCCATCATTGTTGTTTGGCAGGTCCGGGCTGGATTCGAACCTGCCACCTTAGGTGTACGTGGCTGGCGCCTTAGCCAGTTGAGCTATAGGTGCCGAGCCCACAAATCTTATCTTAAACTGCTTTCTAAGAACTTCAGGATAAAGATATCATTTGCTTCCTGGATATCATCCCATAACCTATAGCAGAGGTCTTCACGATCATCCAACACAAAAGCAAAACAGTTAATTGTTTCTTGTTTATATGGGGACATCTTGGCCCACCCTCTTCAGAGAGGACAGAGTACAGTACCTTTCTTTTAAAAAATCTTCAAACTCTTTGCAGTTCTTGCGCCCATTATTCAGATGCTGGATGATACTGTCATAGCCAATGGTGCTGAGGATGTCTGCATTCTGGTGGAGAAAACAACATGGCAGCAGATCAGGAATGGCACAGATAATAGCCCCAAGGCCTGGAGAGAGGATGGGACAGAAGAGGTGGGAAACTGGCTCTCTCCACCTCCAAGACACACGTGACCAAGAGAAGCCAATGGAAGAAGGAAGAATGCATGTAGCTGTGGATGAATTTTTAAAATGATGAGACTGAAGGGCCACAAAATGGGAAAGAAGTGACATGTGATGTGAGGGAGCTGGCAGGAGAGAGGAAGGAGCTGGATGCCACTGCAGACTCCTGCAGTGTGCCTCTTTATAGAGCTGGGTAAAAACTGTACTACAGGTCCATTTTACCAGGTGCTGTGCAATTTTCACCTTGTACTTAAACTCAACTTCAAGTTTGATTGAACAAAGAGATTGTTCATCTCTGACCATAGCCAATTTACTATTTACTATAGTTTGCTGTTTCACCATAAATCTTTCTCTTTTTTTTTTTTGAGTCAGAATCTTACTATGTTGCCCTCAGTAGAGTGCTGTGGCATCACAGCTCACAGCATCCTCAAACTCTTGGGCTTAAACAATTCTCTAGATGTCTGTTGGACATCTCTGACCATAGCCAATTAGCCCTGTGGAAGGTAGAGGATATGTCTGCAAAGGAACCAGGAGGGGGTAAAAAGGGCTATCTGCCAGCTGGGAAGCATGGTCATTGGCCCTATTTGGAAGGAAAGGGCTTTTCAAAACTTTTTTTTTTTTTTTTTTTTTTT